TCCATGCCATCTCTACCATTTGTTATATAGATAGACAGTTTGCTTTTTGTTTTTTTGATATCCATCTAAAGTTCATGTTTTCAATTTGTATAGCGTTGTACACATAGATGGACATATTATTTTTGTATCGGCAAACTGATTGTCTTTTTGGTCAGTCTATTTAACTTTCCTATTTTGGTACTCAAAATCGTCGTTTTCAATCTTCTCAGTTAAAAAATAATAATTCGAGGGCTCCGCCCACCTCCACCCCCCGTATTTTTGCCCCCGAAAGATTAAAATCCTGGCTACGTCCCTGCACATAGGTGCTACCAACGCAATACCTGTCACAGCTTCGGTTTTCAAATCCAGTTTGAGTAGCATTATTCTTTAAGTATCCAACATGAAGCTTGCTACTTGTACTAATAATTTTACGGATGCTGTTACAGAAATCCAACTGGCAACTTTTCATTGGATTTGCGATAAAAACCCTTAGCTATGATAGAATTGTTAAAACAAAGAAGAAGATACATGATTAATTTGATATCAATTTGTTGTAACAATAGGAAAAAAAAAATATGGCACAATATGTAGTAATTAATCACAAACTCAAGAACAAAATAATTTACAGAAAAACGAAAAATTCACTAAAATATGGAAAAAGAATACAATGATTTGTGTTATAATTTGTCTAAATTTAAAATACAATAAAGAGCTAAATATATATAGGGAACAAATAGGTGACGTCCGAACCCTAGCCTTGGTGTTGTAGCTGAAGTAGAATGCAAAATAAATATCGAAAATGCATTAGGAGACCGAAATTCCGCACAGGTGGAGCCTCGGCGCTAGGTTTCGAGAAAAAATCTCCAAGGGTGTTTTTCTTCATTCCTTTGTCCATATATTGTCCTCTTCAAGTACCACACAAATTAACTTCTAATTGGGCTTTCAAATAAAACTTCAACTAGAGTTTGCTAAATAGACTTCGAATAGGATTCCAAAAACATTCCAACAAAGAATTATTCTTAAGTTGACTTTAATTAAAATTCTCAATTATTTTCAAAATAGAATTTGGGTCACACCCTAATTCTAACACTTTTTGTAGGGAACTTCAAATTTTGTGATTCGTAAAAAGTGTTAAGCCTTCTAATTCAATTATCTTTTCAGTAATATATCTTTTTTTTTTTTTATCTTGTGAAGGTCTTTGTATCAAACTTTGTACTCTAATTTCCCCGTATGTAAGTTCTTCATATTTCTTTTTCAACTTTCTTGTATTTGATAATTCACTTCAACTCTATTACTCCAAAATACCTTAAACTTCTCGATTTTGTCTTCTTTCTCAAGAATGTACTTAAATCTTGGGGATTTCTCCCAAAGTGACATAAACAAGACAAAATCAACATAAAATCAATATAATTTAGGGTGCTTTTGATTTCTTATATATGTGTTTCAAGGGGAAAAAGAAAAAGAAATAATGCATTCATGCGTGTTAGAATTTAGGGTGCTTTTGATTGCAAACATGGAATTTGTATGGAAAGAAAATAATTTCTATACAATTCAATTGTCTAGAACTTATTTGTATGAAATTATCAATTAAATGTGTTTGATCGATTTAATTTTCAATCTAGAAAATATTATATTTGTCCATTTTTTATTTGTACGGGTATATGAGGAAGAGGGGATAGATGACAGAGAGAAAGTGACGGTGAATTACTTGAAAAATAAAAATCTCCTCCCTAAAGAAAATGTTTTCCTTGTTTTTAAGGAAAATAATGTCACATAATCAAAAGTTGAAAAATGTTCACACCCCAAAAGTAAGAATTTGAATGAAAAATAAAATGATATTTTCCATAGAAAATAAAGACAATCAAACACACTCATACATTTGTTTCCAGCTCTGAGCAGTGTAAGAATCCACACTCCAAATAAGCTAGAAAAATGTATCTTTTAATCTTGACCGAACATGTTTATATTAAATTTATTGAGAAATCCTAAATTTTGATAAGAGCCCTTTCTTTACTGTTTTCACATATTTCTTTGAAAAAATAACACTGTTTGCATTCAGGGGCCGAAACTGAATGCCTTCAACAATGAGGCCGCTCTTCCGACAATGGGTTTCTAATAATCGTGCCTCCACCATGCCTTCATCTCCTTTATCATTATAAAAATGTCCCATTACTACTTCCATCCATCCATCGGGTCTCCTCGCAACTGCATTCTGACTATTTGGATACCGGGGTGGCTGAAGTCACAAAGTAGTAGCTCCCTTTTCAGCTTCAGCATCATCTTCACGGATAAGAAACTTGATTGTTGCATTTGCTAATCCAAGGCCATAGAAATTCTGTGCTAATCTATATACGAGATAAACTACATATTGAGTCTTTGGGGATAGCATTTTTGTGTCGATCTTGCCTCGTATCTCAAGCTACCATATTCCCGAAAGCTTTGCCACCATTGAGAATCT